TGTAGGAATATGGATGGAAGCAAGGTGTGGAAGGAGAGAACTAGGGATAGAAGAAAGGTTGAGATGGAGAGAACTTTGAAGAATGGTGTAGAGGGATGGAATGTAGTTGTAGTTGGAGATAACTTAGACAAAGAGTGGAGAGAGCTATTAATGGAAGAAAGGTGTAGAGGGAGAGAACTAGAACTAGAATGGAAGGAATTTGTAGTGGTAGAGAACTTAAAAAGGAAGGTGTAGAGGGAATGATCTAGGAAGAGAAGGAAGGTTTAGTGGGAGAGAACTTAGAAAGAAGGTGTAGAGGGAAAGAACTGTGGATGGAAGAAAGGTGTCGAAGAAGATAATTAAGGGTGAAAGGAAGGAAGGTCTAGAAAGAAGGGGAGAACTTAGAAGAAGAAGGCAAACTTTAGGAAAAAATAAGGATGAAGAAAATTTGAAGGAAACTTAGGAAAAAAGAAGAAACTTAGAAGGAATAGGAAGGAAAAAGAAAAGAAAGAAGGATTTTTGTTTTGTTCCTGCCCCTAACCTTTGATCTGCGCGTTTCCAAGCACTTGTCCACAGATGCTTTTAAAAGTGTGCATCATATAGCCTGCTCCCTGTATGTGACTTTATCCACTAAAATATACTCTTTATTTTTGGCTTTCGTAACGTTTAGAATATCAGAACTTCAGATAAAAGCTCTCTTACCTGCAGAGACATTTTTTGATGTACAGCAGAATTAGATAAATATTGGTTCATAGAGACACATTCATGTTAATGTACCAGCCCACACTTCCAATATTTTGCAGCTTTCATCTAAACATCTAAGGGACTAATAATCCTCCTTCTATAATGAAACCAGGCCGGTAACGTGAAGCTCGGCTTTACAAATTGCTACAGCGGGAAACTGATTTCAAAGAAAAGTTCTGATAGAATTCCAGGTAGGCATTTCTGCATATACACATAAAGGGGTCAGGGGAGGAAATAACGAATGCCAGAGAGTTTGTTTAAAGTTTAATCCAACTTTGACAAGTTTTCTGAGGTAAATGCTATATAATTGAAGCATAGTTTTATTTTTTACCAATTAAATTGTTCACCTAATTTCTTATACTTTTTTCTTTTATTTCTGATAGATTTATACATTTTGTCCTTTTCTGAATTCAGAATAACACATTTTCAGTTGGGGTTCTGTTATTGCTTACATCTAAACATTGACAAAATTTATGTTAATATTGATTGCTGGGATGGATAAAAAAGACCAATGGAAGGGCTGACGTTCAGATTGGATTGGCTTCCCATTCAGTAAAGATACATTAAATCTCGCTACTGGAGACTCTGTAAGGTATAATCGGCTGGTGATTCAAGTCACTAATAACTCTTTAGGTGGTGGTAGAGTTCAAGCAAACGTACTTAAGTAAATCCTTTCTGCCTTGATGATCTCAGGTCAGATTCCTGATAGAAGGTATGCTTTCTTTTAGGAAAGTGAAGATTTCTGTGCTCACTTTTATGATTACATAAAATACCCAGTAAAAAGGTATGTGATAATAATGAACAATATCACAAGAATCCCTCAAAACTCAGATGGAAGTATACTTCCCAATGGGTGATTGACACACAGTGATTCAGTAACAACTCAGATCAGTGAATAATGAGCAGATATGGCTGAGAAAACTGGGTAGGTTGTTAAGAAAGCATGTTTGCTTTAACTGGTAATTGTGTGGTCATGCAACGCTCTACCCAAACAAAGTTTATATTATTTTTTTCACACAAATAGAGCTTTCTTTTGGTGGTATATCATCACCTCTGGATTTTTTATTATATAAACAAAAAACACCAAAATTTTTATTTTATATATATATATATATATATATATATATATATATATATGTGTGTGTGTATCTTTGATAAAATAAAAATCCCAATAAATGCATATTGATTGGTTTGCATGACAGTTCTAGCATCTGCATACTGTGGTGTATATAGTGAAATTTTCATTTATTTACTTATTTTATATTACTAATGGCAATGATCAGCAACTTATTATAGGACTGTGATAGTGCAGAGGGCAATTTGGCACTAACTGACACTGGGTGGGAGCTGACTAACTGCCACTGACACCACCAGTGACAATAATCCAAATACTGTACACTGTCACAATGACAGTGGCTGGGAAGGGGTTAACATCTCGAGTAATGAAGGGGTTAAATGTGTGCCTAACAATGTGTAATGTGTGTATTATGTGCTGCTATTTACTAAATATCTCTGTTTCTTCTTGCTGCTTTGCAGGGAGAAGCAACAAAGAGATTATCCTCTCTGTACAGAGCCTTGTGTTGACAACCAACATAGAGCTCTGGGCTGTGATTGAATACAGCATATCAGCAGGTCCCAGCTATGAATCATGGACTGGGACCTGCAGACTAACTCACAGCGGGAGTTGGTGGGCGGAGGCTTGCCCTATACCTGGAGGAGGCCAGCAACGTATAGATACGTCGTTGAGCATGTACTGGCCTCCCGTCCGCAGTACATTGTGGACTGGTTGTCCTCAAGTGGTTAAATAAAGAACATTTTTTTAACAGATCACAGCAGAAATATATTGTTTCTTTGGAGAGAGACAGACTTTTGTTCAGAGACGTTGGCCATTGTGTTGCCTCTCTGCAGGCTGCAGAATTGTTTTCACTTGCACCAATCCTTGTCTTCAATATGATCCAAAAGAATACACTGAAGGCCTTTCAGAAAGCATGTTAATGTCACGGACTAGTTTCTGTCTCCGAATGCAGGCTTGTGTAGAAAGTGTTGAATAAATGGGCTGTGCAGAACTACAGGGGGACCAGGGACGGACTGACCATTTGGAAACTCGGGCAGTGCCGAGGGCCTTGGGTCAGTAGGGGGCCCCATGAGATGCCCTTGGTACCTTTTTTATAGGCTTTTTTGAGTTTGGGCAAGGACGCAGGGGCCCCATGATGCCCTATTGCCCGGGGGCCCCATGAGTTGTCAGTCCGCCCCTGAGGGGGACCCAGTTCATTGGCAGTCCCTAAGGGGATGGTGCTACACCTTTAAGACACTTTCGAGTTAATTGACAGACACATTTCTCCTTGAAAGCTTATGATCAGCTTCTTTTTGTGACCTTATTGATATGTATTGGGTGAAAAGCAGTTCTGGTGTGAATAAAGACAGTTTCCTATCCCCTCCCCACCTCATTTCTACTCTTCACTCTGTTCTCCCTTCCCTGCAACTCTCATTTCACTAGCAGAATTTATTTCAAAATGATTTGGTTTAAGAACATCGATTTTTGGATTGTTAGTGAGGGCAAATCAACATTCATGTGTGTGTGTATATATATATATATATATATATATATATATATATATATATATATATATTATGTAGCTCCCTCAACTAGTTGGGCTGCCAGACCTAAATTTAGTTTTTGACTTCACTGTAGCCAGTGGAGCAGTGATCAATTTTTTTTTGTCTGATCAGGGCTTCCTAAGCTGGGTGTTTGATATCTACCACCAGCTTCTGGAAGATGCTTCCAGGATATAGAGCAGGGAAAGTCAAATGTTGATTATGAAAATGTATTATGCCCCAGCCAATCCCTAGAAGGAGGCATCCAGAAGGTGGCCGGAGAGGCAATAAATGTTTGGGAGGAGAGTTCCAGTTCTCCTGGGGCTGCTGCCCCTGGGAGGCAGCTAGAAAGGGAAAAAGAAGTGTAGTGTAGGCCTCATCAGGAGCTAGGTTGAGGACCTAGAGAGGATTGCTAAAAGGATATTTTTTTTGGTGGGCACTGCTTTGAAATCCTGGTCTAGAGAAGGATTGATTATCCCACTGAGGATCTACCTGTGGAAGCTGGGTGGCAGACATCTCCTGGGACATTGTGAGTAAGACCAGATGTTTGGATGTTTGGATAGCTAAGAAGCTAGTCCTCTTATTGATTGCTATTATTATTTTGGAGTAGTCTTATTATTCAGCAATAAATTCTAAAAATACATCACCTAGACTAAGCCTGCATTGTCAGTGTGCATGGAACTGTGCTTGCGGATAGCATTCTCTGTACTATTGTAAGATAACCTGTTATATTCTCAGCAGCCTCTCTGGGAGCGAGTGCTACATTTAAAGAAGTATATTTTTATTATTTTCACAATATACAGTAACAGGTATATTGTACGATAGTGTATAGAATGGTACAAATGCATCCCATCAGATATAACAGTGTTAAATGAAGGCTATAGTATGGTTAATACTAGCACATGTTGGTACACAAACCTTGAGTTAAGTAACATGAGTAATGGAAAGCTTACATCAATTTAAAAGTAAAATCATATTCTTATGGTGAAAAATACTCCAAGGTCGTTGTCATAGAATCAGTATCTCATACCATGAAGAAGGTATGGGCCTGCGTCATATTAAGCGCTACAGACAAAAAGCAGCCTCAGCCCTCCAGAGCTGAACAAGAGCTCTATAGGTACGGGGCTGCCTGAGGCCTGTACTGTAAAAAGAACTGTAGAAAAAACAAGAGTGATACAAATAGGAGCATGCAAAATAAATAGAAGGAGAGAGAAGAGAAGAAAAGATATTAGAAGATTCTCCAGCTCTACCAGAATACTGTAGCCAGTGTGTAGCTCCAGGAATCCAACAGGGAACTGTTAGACGTGAAGGTCTATATCAGTGATGGCGAACCTTTTTGAGCCCGAGTGCCCAAACTGCAACCCAAAACCAACTTATTTCTTTCAAAGTGCCAACACTGCAATGAAACCTGAATATCGAGCTTTTGGTTTAGAAAAAAACAACTCGTACAGTAGTGCAAACTAATTAACAGTACAGGGATGACCAGAGACTGCGGACAGTACAGGGATGACCAGAGACTGCGGACAGTACAGGGATGACCAGAGACTGCGGACACAGTACAGGGATGACCAGAGACTGCAGACACAGTACAGGGGATGACCAGAGACTGCGGACACAGTACAGGGATGACCAGAGACTGCGGACACAGTACAGGAGATGACCAGAGACTGCGGACACAGTACAGGGATGACCAGAGACTGCGGACAGTACAGGGATGACCAGAGACTGCAGACACAGTACAGGGATGACCAGAGACTGCGGACACAGTACAGGGATGACCAGAGACTGCGGACACAGTACAGGGATGACCAGAGACTGCGGACACAGTACAGGGATGACCAGAGACTGCGGACAGTACAGGGATGATCAGAGACTGCGGACACAGTACAGGGATGACCAGAGATTGCGGGCACAGTACAGGGATGACCAGAGACTGCGGACACAGTACAGGGATGACCAGAGACTGCGGACACAGTACAGGGATGACCAGAGACTGCGGACACAGTACAGGGATGACCAGAGACTGCGGACAGTACAGGGATGATCAGAGACTGCGGACACAGTACAGGGATGACCAGAGATTGCGGTCACAGTACAGGGATGACCAGAGACTGCGGGCAGTACAGAGATGACCAGAGACTGCGGACAGTACAGGGATGACCAGAGACTGCGGACAGTACAGGAGATGACCAGAGACTGTGGAAAGCACAGGGATGACCAGAGACTGCGGACAGCACAGGGATGACCAGAGACTGCAGACAGCACAGGGATGACCAGAGACTGCGGACAGTACAGATGACTGCTGACCTTTGGGGAGGGAGGGGGAGCGGGTACCTGAATTTGACAGGTACCCGCTCTTACTTCCGCAGAGTTTTTTTTTTATCTTACCTGTTCCTTTATCCAGCGGCGCGCTGTTTTCCCGGCTTCTGTAGTGTGGGCGCTCGTCGGACAGCCGGATGCCCAGTGCGCATGCGCGAGAAGCGCTGCGCTTTGTGATTGGTCCGGCGGCTTCTGGGATCTGTCATGTGTCCCAGGTACCGCCTTACCATTCACAAAGAGCACTGCTTCTTGCGCATGCGCACTTGGGACCCGGCTGTCACGCACACTACAGAAGCCGGGAAGACAGCGCGCCGCTGGATAGAGGGACAGGTACGGTCCCACTGCAGAGCTGAGCAGCCGTCCCGGTATTCTGACACGGCGGCGGTGGTGGAAATACCGGACCGGCCGCTCTATATTCACTCCATAAGACGCACTGACATTTTCCCCCCTTTTTTGGGGGAAAAAAAGTGCGTTTTATGGAGCGAAAAATACGGTATTCTCCTGGCGTGCCCACAGATAAGGCTCGGCGTGCCGGCTGTGGCACGCGTGCCACGGGTTCGCCATCACTGGTCTATATCATGGCGAATCTTCCCTAGAAGGTCACAACTCCTACATTTTGTTAAATAGTATTAAAGTCCGTGTTCATTTTCAGTCACAGTGAAAATTCAAAGGAGCAGAATGGAACATTTTTTATGAATGGATGAATTCCTAACAGAGTACGACTGATTTTGTTCAGTAAACAAGCTTATACAGGTTGTGCTGTCAAAGGGTTCTATAGAACAGCCTTTTTCAACCAGGGTGCCCAAGCACCATGGGGTGCCTTCAGGTTTCTTTAGGGGTGCCTTAGCAAAACGCCTAAAATTGCCCAAATATTGTATACAAGCCAGCGGGTGGCTCAAGCCTGCCTTTTAGTTACACATAAGCCACAGGTTCTCATTGTGCACCATTACAACCTTTCAGCCACCAGCATCCTAACCAATGACATCATCAGTTGGTAAGGAGGATGTTGGGCATCTGCACAGCATCCTCGTTTGCCCCTCTCCTGCCCCTCTCCAACAGCACTGGGGTCACCTTAACTGAATGAGGGAGTAGATCAACATTACAATACTAGTCAGTACTAGTGTGCAAAGGTGTATTTGCTTTGGAAGAATAATCTCCTCTAACGTTGAGTGTCCCACATGTGTGGATGTTGCTGTGTTATGTAAAACTATTTGTTTAGTTTTTTACAAAACAGGGTGCCTCAAGATTGTACATGATTTTAAAGGGTGCCTTGACTGAAAAAAGGTTGAGAAACACTGCTATAGAGCACCCTCTATATACAGTCATGGCCGAAATTGTTGGCACCCTTGATATTTCTCCAGGAAATCATGTATTTCTCACGAAACGTATTGCATTAACACATGTTTTGCTATACACATGTTTATTCCCTTTGTGTGTATTGGGACAAAACAAAAAAAGGGAGGAAAGAAAGCAAATTCGACATAATGTCACACAAACCTCCAAAAATGGGCTGGACAAAAGTATTGGCACCCTTTCACAACTGCAGATAAATAAGAATGTTACAAGCATGTGATGCTCCTGTAAACTCACCTGGGGCAAGTAACAGGTGTGGGCAATATAGAAATCACACCTGAAAGCAGATAAAAAGGAGAGACGTTCACTTAACCTTTGCATTGTGTGTCTGTCTGTGCCACACTAAGCATGGACAACAGAAAGAGGAGACGAGAACTGTCTGAGGACCTGAGAACCAAAATTGTGGCAAAATATCAACAATCTCAAGGTTACAAGTCCATCTCCAGAGAACTAGATTTGCCTTTGTCCACAGTGCGCAACATTATCAAGAAGTTTGCAACCCATGGCACTGTAGCTAATCTCCCTGGTCGTGGACGGATGAGGAAAATTGATGAAAGATTGCAACGCAGAATAGTCCGGATGGTGGATAAGCAGCCCCAAACATGTTCCAAAGACATTCAAGCTGTCCTGCAGGCTCAGGGAGCATCAGTGTCAGCGCGAACTATCCGTCGACATTTAAATGAAATGAAACGCTATGGCAGGAGACCCAGGAGGACCCCACTGCTGACACAGAGACATAAAAAAGCAAGACTACAGTTTGCCAAAATGTACTTGAGTAAGCCAAAAGCCTTCTGGGAAAACGTCTTGTGGACAGATGAGACCAAGATAGAGCTTTTCGGTAAAGCACGTCATTCTACTGTTTACCGAAAACGGAATGAGGCCTACAAAGAACAAAACACAGTACCTACGGTAAAATATGGTGGAGGTTCAATGATGTTTTGGGGTTGTTTTGCTGCCTCTGGCACTGGGTGCCTTGACTGTGTGCAAGGCATCATGAAATCTGAGGATTACCAAAGGATTTTGGGTCGCACTGTAGGGCCCAGTGTCAGAAAGCTGGGTTTGCGTCCAAGATCCTGGGTCTTCCAGCAGGACAATGACCCCAAACATACGTCAAAAAGCACTCAGAAATGGATGGCAAAGAAGCGCTGGAGAGTTCTGAAGTGGCCAGCAATGAGCCCAGATCTAAATCCCATTGAACACCTGTGGAGAGATCTTAAAATTGCTGTTGGGAAAAGGTGTGTCCTTCCAATAAGAGAGACCTGGAGCTGTTTGCAAAGGAAGAGTGGTCCAAAATTCCGGGTGAGAGGTGTCAGAAGCTTATTGATGGTTATAGGAAGCGACTGATTTCAGTTATGTTTTCCAAAGGGTGTGCAACCAAATATTAAGTTAAGGGTGCCAATACTTTTGTCCAGCCCATTTTTGGGGTTTTGTGTGACATTATGTCATATTTGCTTTTCTGCCTCTGTTTTATATTTGTTCCAATACATACAAAGGGAATAAACATGTGTATAGCAAAACATGTGTTAATGCAATACCTTTTTTGTGTGAAATACTTGATTTTCAGGAAAAATATCAAGGGTGCCAACAATTTCGGCCATGACTGTATACCATATGCAATTACAGATGCCAAAAGTGGCTTAATGGGGCCTTTAGGTTGCTTATGTTGGTGGTCACCCCCTTTAGGCCTGGTTTACACTAGTGCAATTTCTGATGCGCACAGAATCGCTTGACAATGAAAATCCCATAGTTTTCAATTCAATGCAATGAAATTTTGGAAAAATTCCTTCACTACTTTGGTGCAATTCCAGCACAATTTTGTATCCATAGATGTCAAAGGAAACGCACAAAAATTGCATGTACATGCTATTCTGATGTGATTTGGAAAGTGAGTTCATTTTTTAACCCTCAAATCACCTCCCAGGCAAATCCTAGGTTGCTGAAATAAGTAGAAGTAGTGAGCAGCACCACCCAAGGCATAAACTTGCATCAAAAACCACACAGGGGTAAAGTTGTGTCAAATTGCAAGCAACTTGCACTACATAATCGCACATGAAATCGCCTAGAGTGAACCAGGGTGTACAGAACATGTATCAATTAATCCAGGGGTTCCAATAATGTAATTTTCAGAGGTCTCCTTTCTTATATAATAAATCTAATAGTATTTTAATTTTTGGAGTGGTTTAAGTAGGTATAAGCACCTTACAAGCCCTGCTAAACCAATTTTTGGTGTCTGTAGTTGGATTTCTTTCGGTAAAGTTCATTAGTTCCAAAACTGAATGTTAAACGTAAGCAAAATTTTGAAGCACTTTCTTGGTCAAATATTTTATTAGCATTTTAACAGGGAGGAAAAGATAGGATAATGGAGATATACATTTCTTAGACATGAAATTACAATAATGGGCATCAATGACAACAGAGTCTTTACAAAAAAGGGGAGAGGAGGGGAATAGTGGTTTTGACAAAATAACAGTTTTAGGGGACAGAAGATGGATGAAGCCAATAGCTTAGGTTCATACAAAATTTTGATAAATAAATAGGCGCGCCCCAATGTTGCAAAGGGGGATCGTAACATAGGAGTGTAGAGTTATACAGAATGGTCAGGGGGAGAAAATAAGAAAAAAGGGGGGGGAGGGGGGGATGGGTCAGGATGGATGGAAAGAGAGTGGGGAGGGGTGAGAAGGGGTAAGTGACTCCACAGTTAGCAGCAGTGAATGGAGGAGTATGTGAGATTGATAGGAAGTGTTACCAGAGTAGCATGGAATATTCATTAGGGGTTGAGAAGTGAATTGAAAAACGTTTGGTGGGAGGAAGTGCTCTACCCAGGGGTTCCAAACATTCCTGAATTTAGGGATGGTATCTAGAATTGTGGCTTCTACTTGGCGTGAATCATAGCCTGAGTAACTATTTTTAACTACTGCAATGCATAGTGAGGGAGATTTCCAAGACTTAGCTATGACCTGCTTGGCTGCCATAGTAACTTAAGTTTGAATTGTGGGTTTGTGACTCCAGGAAGGCATAGGTTAAGCAGCGCAGTGACTGGGTTCGGTTGGAGTGTTTTTTGCTCTAAGTTTAGACATCCACCCAGAAGACTTGGGCGATTGGGCAGTCCCACCATATGTGGAAATGCGTACCCAGGTCTACACAGCCTCTAAAGCAAGTGGAGGGGTAATTAGGGGTACACTTAGCAATTCTTGCTGGGACCAGGTACCAACGGGTCAGGACTTTATAGTTGGTTTCTAGAGCTATAATATTATGCGATGATGATTTAGTATTGGACCAGATATGGTCCAGGTCAGAAGGGTCTAGTTGCCAGCCAAGGTCCGTTTCCCATTTGCGTATGTATGCGGGAGGTGACGTGGTGGTCAAGGTTGTAAGGAGGGAGTACAAATATGAAATGAGGCCTCGTCTATGGGGT